TTTTTTTTTTTTTTAGCAAGGCACCAGTTTTTATTTCTATCCAAGACCACTGTAAACAACAAGTGCTGAAATTTTTCATAATTATTTTCTGTTTTCAATTAAATAATTAGAGAAATTGCTATTATTAATCATTTCAGTTATACTGCATGTATTGAAGATTCATAATTTTGTTAAATATCAATAGTCTTGGTTATTTTATCAACAATGCTAATATCTATGATTAAAAAAAATTCTATTGTGTTATTGTTTTCACTATGTTAACAAATACATGTCTTTTTAATGAGGAAGAGCTGCAGGCTTTTCAAAATTATAAGCTGTCTTTGTGGAGGTTAAAATAAGGGAGACTCCATTTCATGTACAGAAAAACAAAGTCATGTTAACAAACACCGTGCTACTTAGATTCAAAATATGTCGGGAAATAGATGAAACCAAGCTCAGTAGACAAACAAGATTATTCTCTTTCAAGTTCAAACCGTTCTCTTTTTGATGCTCAGGAAGATGCCATATTTTATCTGTCTACCCAGAATTGCAAGTGTAGGATGAAAAAAGAGCAAATGTTAAATGAAACATGCTGTGTTTATTGGGTATTGTGTGATTAGATTTATGTAATAATCTAATAATTTTTGTGATAAAATATGTAGGGATTGTTTATAATGTATTTGAAAATTAATATCTTCCCATTCATTTTACTTGCATCTTCCAATTTCTGTCACATATTTTTGCCCTACCAGGGAATGAATAGATAAGGTCAGATTACATTGTTTACATTGGTGATTTCATCGTAGTTTTCTTTCTTGACACTGCATTGGCTTTTAAAACTTTCTCTTGAACGTCAGGAATGTGAGTTAATTATACAGCGTATTTCAAAAAGAATATGTGTATATTTATTAAACTGTATGACATATGAATATGAAACTTTACACACATATGTATGAACCTCTCCAGTTCAGATTACAGATGTTCAATATGTCCTCTATCAGCAACACGAAAAATATCACATCGATACTCAAATTCCTCCCATACTCGGGCAAGCACGTCCGTCGCCACTAATGTTATGGCGGTACAGATCTGGTTCTTCCCCTCTTCCAGGTTCTGTGGCAATGGTGGTATATAAGTGTTGTCTTTAATGAAACCCCATAGGAAGAAGTCACAGGGTGTCAAATCCAGTGACCGTGGATGCCAGCTGAGACACGCTAAGTCGCCAGCTCCTTAATGACCAATCCAATGCTTCGGTAGAGTGTCATTCAAATAATTACGCACTTGACGACACCTGTGAGGGGGCTGCCCCATCTTGTTGAAAAATGAAGTTGTCTTCGTGCAGCTCGGAGACAACTAGTTTTGTAACGTAGCGAGATACTGCTGACCGTTAACCATCTTTCCATCAAAGAAGAATGGGCCGTAAACAGATGATTGTGCTATCTAACAAAACACATTGATTTTAGGCAAATCTCGTACATGTGGGTTCTGTAGGTCCCAAATTCGAACATTGTGTTTGTTTACATGACTACTAACATGAAAGGTTGCTTCATCACTGAACAGGATGCATTTTCTTATCATTGTCGATAGCATCAATAATCTCATTACAAAATGCCACACGTTTGCGTTTGTAATCAGGACGCAGAGCCTGTAACAGATGTAACTCGTATAGCTTCATAACTAACCGACATCTAAAAACATGCCAAATTGTTTTGTAGGCAGTTGTAACTCCTGTATGGCACGTTGAGTTGATTTTGAAGGACTACGTTGGAAAGCAGTTTGAATTCGTGCAGCATTTTCATTGGGAACACGAGGGCGGCTAGGACTCTTTCCTTTACATATACATCCTGTATTTACAAACTGTCGATACCATCTGCGAATGTTCCACCCATTTGGAGGATTACTTTGGTACCTCAACTTGAAACGTCTTTGCCTTCTAATCACGGAATTGCACTTCGCAAACTCAAGAACACAAAATGATTTCTGCTGCTGAGTAGCCATTTTAAACATGTGACGGTTACTACGCAAAATAGAAAACAACTGACATCTAGCGGCTATTGAACTAGACTATGTATTCATTTCGCCAGTAGCAAAGCCAAGACGCAGTGATCGATAGTTTGGACAAAATAACACTTTGTAATACATATATTCTTTTTGAAACATGGTGTATATGGACACATAAATATGTTTCATCGGAAACAAAAGTGGTTTTGAAATTTTAATGGATACACACAGTTTACACTATAAGGTAACCAATTTATTAACCCTTAGACTGAAAGCTAAAGGATCATATTGCCATTTTTTATTTATACAGTAGAAGTCCAGAAATCTGCAAAACTCGGGAGCAGAGGTTGTGCGGATTTCAGGACAGAAAAGATAAATCATAATATTCAGGCTCAAAATGCAAAATAAATAAGGTGTATTAGATACATTTAATTAAATTATTATATACATTATTGCAATAATTTATTATATGCATTAAATTATTATTACGTATATAAATTGATTATATTATTCATTGTATTATATGTACACAGCATCAAGGTTTCCTAATTTCGCCTCGTGCAAAGATTCATGGTTTCGGATTCCGGTGTTAGAATCACTGTTGCTGTAAAATTTCAACAGCTTTTCTTTATTTTTCCGTATATCATACACAATCGTGTCACAATTTCATAAGATTCTGCTATAAACCGAGGAGTGGAACCTGCCTCCATCTTTTGCAGAATTTGCATTTTTTGCATTACCATCAATGCAACGTCTGTACGTTTTTCAACTTTGCAAGCAATAAAATCATGAGTGCATTTCTTATCTGTCATTGTATTAACTGTTTGACTTCTATGCGGCGTAAAAACGCTGCGTTCATTTGTCTAGAAAGCGTGGCGAGTTCAGTGTGTCTTTGTTGCTCCATGGGTGTGAACGTATGTAGTCTGACCTCACACGTACTTTGTAACACAAGTGCATTCTAAAATAACTAACTACATTGTGGTTTTTGAGACAAATAAACGCAGCGCTTTTGCGCCGCATAGCAGTCAAAAAGTTAAAAGGGGCTGAAATTTAAAATGTTCTTAATTTATTCACAAAATATCCAGATAAAAAAAAAGGGCAGCACTAAAAAATCTTGTGAAATAACAAAGCTCAGAAAATACAACAACATGAATCGTGAACTAGAAAGAAGAGCTGAGTGAATCGTCCACTTTTTTACCTTGATGCAGATTAGAGGGAGGAAAACTTTTATCGTGATGTCAATAATTTGGTATTTCTGTTATGACTCATTATTATTCGGTAATTATGACGTCATTATTTGGTAAGTATTTTTTCTTTGATATTTCGTACTGTGGTTTCCAGAACCTATAAACTGAATGCCTATATTTTGAGAGGCAACGCGGATTTTCGGTATTTGACTGTATTCTCTTTGAGTCCAGGTCTAAAGAAGCTGTACACTGAAGTGACAAAAGTCATGGGATAGCTATATGCAAATATACGGATGGCAGTAGTATTGCATAGAAAATGTATAAATACGAAGTGCTTTGGCAGGGCTTTCATTTGTGTTCAAGTTATTCATGTGAAGAGGCATTGACGTGATTATGGCCGCACGACGAGAATTAACAGACTTTGAACATGGAATGGTAGTTGGAGCTAGACGTATGGGTCATTTCATTTTGGATATCGTTAGGGAATTCAACATTCCAAGATCCACAGTGTCAAAAGTGTGCCGAGAGTATCTAATTTCAGGCATAACATCCCACCATGGACAGCGCAGTGGCCGACCACCTGCACTTAACGACCGAGACCAGCGATGTCTGCGTAGAGTTGTCAATGTTCACAGACAAGCTACATTGCGTCAAATAATCGCAGAAATCAATGTGGGACGTACGAGGGACGTGTCCGATAGGACAGTGCTGCGAAATTTGTCTTCCTTGGGCTATGCCAGCAGAAAGACCGACTCGAGTGCCTTTACTGACAGCACGACTCTCATGGGCTCATGAGCATATCGGTTGGTCCCTAAACGAATGGAAAACCATGGCTTGGTCAGATGAGTCACGATTTCAGTTGGTAAGATCTGATGGTAGGGTTCGAGTGTGGCGCAGACCCTACGAAGCCATGGACCCAAATTGTCAACAAGGCATTGTTCAAGCTGGTGGTGGTTCCATAATGGACTGGGCTGTTTTTACATGGCATAGACTCGGTCCTCTGGTGCAACTGAACCGATCATTGACTGGAAATGGATACCTTCAGCTACTTGGAGATCACTTACAGCCATTCATGGACTTCACATACTCAAACAACGATGGGATTTTTATGGATGACAATGCGCCATGTCACCGGGCCACAATTGTTCGTGATTGGTTAGAAGAACATTCTGAACAATTCCAGCGAATGATCTGGCCACCTAGATCGCCCGACATGAATCCCATCAAACATTTATGGGACATCATCGAGAGGTCAGTACGTGCCCAAAACCTTGCACTGTCAACACTTTCTTAATTATGGACGTCTATAGAGGCAGCATTGCTCAATATTCCTGCAGGGGACTTCCAACGACTTGTTGAGTCCATGCCACATCGAGTTGCTGCACTTCGCTGGGCAAAAGGAGGACCGACAAAATATTAGGAGGTATCCCATGACTTTTGTCACTTCAGTGTATACTGGATGAGGTAGCAGGGGAAAACGAGATTTATAATGAGAAATCTCATATGAACACCACTGTATGGCCTGTTAAATTATACATGTTTTTTGCTGCACTTCATTTAAACAGATTTCCTCAAATTATTCTAACTTAATTAACCAATTCTACAACACAAATTGGAAATGACATCATCAAAAATTGCAGGTTGGAAATTAAATATCTCAGTCGATCTTTTTTGTATAAAAGTTAACTTCATATATGTTGTTTTTTCATTACTAGTATAAACCTTTTCTGAATATAAGTATAGAAACCGGAGAGACCACATTTAAAATTAGATTTCATTATTTGTTTAAATCGTTAATAAATGTTGTGTTAGTGATCTTTTACTCTTATATAGGGACAACTATTGATTTGTTCCGAGGCAAAGCAGCTATTAAAGAACAGGAAGAAGAAAAATACCCAACTCAGTTATCAAAACAAATCAAGTTTGGACAAAAGGCTCATGTAGAGAGTGCTAGATTTTCTCCTGATGGTCAGTATCTTGTAACAGGCTCTGTAGACGGTTTTATTGAAGTCTGGAATTTCACAACTGGAAAAATTAGAAAGGATTTAAAATATCAAGCTCAGGTATTTTACTGTTTATTTTCAAAATGGTTTCTTAATTGGCCAAATGTGCCCTACCATAATTAATAATTGAAATTATCCAATATCAGAAGCATTCCACTGTCATATACAGCTTGTGCAAAATAAGCTTTCATTTAGTATTGTAAAAGGCTTTATTTAGTATTGCAAGTGTTAATTAGTAATTTTTGGTAGTGTTTTAAGTACCCTTTAGCTGTCTGAGAAATCAATAATGATAAAAAAATTATTGTTTTTATTTATTTATTAGATTAATGTTTACTAATTTAAATATATTGAATAAAAATTATTAAATGTGAGTAAATGGCAATTTCAGTTAAGCTGTTTAAGTTATTTTTTAATCTTAAAAACTTGTATTTATCTGTTTTGTATATTTTCTTACTTTTATACATTCTTTATTCTTCTTATGATCTTTAAGAAATATTATTTCATATCTTGCAATATGAATAAAGTGTCACAACAATGCTGTGAAACTATAGTTCTTTATGACACAACATTGGTTAGGTGTATTTTAGCAGAATGATTATATAAGGTTAAAAAGGAGGGTTCAAGAGTTATTGTGTTGCTTCTTCCAAACTCAAGAAAGTGTGAGACATTTTTATTTATGTATTGTCTTTAGGTTTTAAAAATCCAGTTGGTGACATAAAATGTGAAAAATGATTGTTTCTTTCTGACTTCGAATGATGATTATTGGAGGTGCTAAAGCAACAAGAATCAGCATAATATTCATAAATTTGTGAGACCACAATTTTGCACTCCTGCACCTGAAAAAGAGGGTTTTATATCTAAATCTTCAAAACTAGTCCTGCAAATTTATGAATGTAATGTTCTTTCTTGTTGCTTTAGCATCTCCAATAATGATTGTTTTTTTGTTCAGATAGTACATTTACATAAAAGTTGCATTGCAAGATGCATACTCTTTCTGTAAATTTTCAGTGTAGAAGTTGAAGATTAGTACAGTAAAATTCCAGAAATTTGCAAAGCTTGGGACCAGAGGTTATGCGGATTTCAGGATAGAAAAAATAAAGCATAATATTCGGACTAAAAGTGCAAAATGAATAAGGCATATTAGATACATTTAATTAAATTATTATATACATTATTGCAATAATTTATTATATGCATTAAATTATTATTACGTATATAAATTGATTATATTATTCATTGTATTATATGTACACAGCATCAAGGTTTCCTAATTTCGCCTCGTGCAAAGATTCATGGTTTCGGATTCCGGTGTTAAAATCACTGTTGCTGTAAAATTTCAACAGCTTTTCTTTATTTTCCCATATATCATACACAATTGTGTCGCAATTCCATACCATTCTGCTATAAATCGAGGAGTAGCACCTGCTTCCATCTTTTGCAGAATTTGCCCTTTTTGTGTTACCGTCAATGCAATGCGTTTACGTTTTTCAACTTTGCAAGCAGTAAAGTAATGAGTGCGTTTCTTATCTGCCATTGTATTAAAAAGGGCTGAAATTAAAAATATTCTTAATTTATCCACAAAATATCCGGATTAAAAAAAGTCAGCACTAAACAATCTCGTGAAATGAAATAACAAAGCTCAGAAAATACAGCAGCGTGAATCGTGAACTTGAACAAAGAGTTGAGTGAATTGTCTGCGTTTTTCTTCTATGCAGATTAGAGGGGGGGGAATTATTTATTTTATCTTATTTTTTTAAACTTTTTTATATCAATAATTTGGTATTGCTGTTTTGACTCATTATTATTTGGTAATTATGACGTCATTCTTCGGTAAGTATTTTTTTCTTCAATATTTCGTACTCGATGTTGCAATTTCCGGAACCTATAAATTGAATGTTTATATTGAGAGGCAAGGCGGATTTCAGGTCGGCGGATTTTCGGTATTTGACTGTAGTAATTTTTGAAATACACTCATGTCCATAAATTAAGGATAATTCGGACTCACGCGGAAATCGAAAAATAAATATATCACCTGTAAAATCACTACACACATCTTCAAGAATCATATGCAAATTTCAGGAAGTAACCAGATGACACCGATGGTACGTCACAATGACGAGAGTGTAAGAGAGTGATATATAAGGAATACAGGCAAAGAAGTAAAATTGTTCGCAGGCACTTTATAAGCATTTCAGTGCAATAATCGTATAGTTATGACACAAAGGACGCATTTGGATGATTTTTTACGTGATAGAATTATCGGCCGTCTGGAATGTGGACATATCCAACTGGAAGTATCAGATGAACTTGGAATTGCCCAGAGTGTCATCTCCAGGCTTTGGCAACGATTCCAAGATGATGGTAATGTGAGAAGACGTTACAGCACAGGTCGCCCCAGAGTTACAACGCTGAATGAGGACTGGTATTTAGCTGTTACTGCTAAAAGAAACAGCCTCAGAGCAGACTCAGGAGCACAGCCTCAGACCTGTCTCGTCAGTTCTCTTCAGCAACTGGTACAACAATTTCAAAGCAGACCGTGTACAGATGCTTAGGGCAGATTGGTCTATATGCTCGTAGACCTGTCAGATGCATTTCACTTACTGCAACTTACTGTCGCCTGCGGTTAGCCTGGAGTAGAGAGCATGCATTGTGGACACCGCAACAATGGGCTTGTGTGATGTTTTCTGACGAGTCCAGGTTTAGCTTGCAATCTGATTCTCGCCGGACTTTCATATGGAGAGCTCCAGATACCTGTTACCACCAAGAAAACATCATTGAACGACACCGTTACGGTGGTGCAGGAGTGCTCGTTTGGGGTGGAATTATTCTGGGTTCCAGAACTGACCTGCATGTTCAAATTGGAACCATGACAAGCCAAATCTATCGGGACATCATTCTGGAACAACATGTACGTTTTTTTCGGGGCGCCATGGGCGCACAATTTGTGTTTATGGATGACAATGCCCGTCCTCACCGTGCGAAAATCATAAGCGAATGCCTTCAATTGGAGGATATCATCCATATGGACTGGCCAGCATTCTCACCAGAGTTGAATCCAGTAGAGCACATGTGGGATATGCTTGGCCGACGAGTTGCAGCCCGTCAACCTCCTCCTACATGTCTACCGGAACTTCGGAGAGCATTGCTTTTTGAATGGTGTAATATTCCCCAAGATCAGATCGATAATTTGATACTCAGCATGCCTAGGCATTGTACGGACTGTATTGCATTGTCTGGGAGACATACAATGTATTAACAATCATACCAACCATGTAATATTGGTTTTTTGTAAATAGGTTTTTTTTAATAATATCAAACATATAGCATCTTTTTTTGCTCTTTACCTTTTGTTTAATAAATAAGCTTTACAAATAAGTCAAATTTGTTTTGCTTCTAACTCTTTCTTTGCCTGATTTTGCATTATCCTTAATTTATGGATATGAGTGTAGTTGGATATTAAATTTATCGTGCAAACGGATATAAGAGCGCTATTTTTTCTTGCATAATTCCAATCCTGACCTTTTACCATGAAATTAAAAGTAATGTCAAAAATTTTATGCATTTGTAGAGTCATTTAGAATTTTGAGTCGGAAAATTGAAGAAATCTACAATAGCCTCACCGGGATTCGAACTCTAGATCTCCTGAATATGCATCATGTGCTTCCTGTTACAGCATGCATGGAGGTAGGAAAGGGAGGAGGGGCCAACCCGCGCTAAAAGTGAAGCACTGCTTTGAAGCTTGGGTCACCAGATGGGGTGTTCTTTGTTTACATTCAGAAGCTCGCTTGACACGATTCTGATAGTATTTCGACACACGACAGTTCCATAGAAATCGAAAAAGGGACACTTTCGCATGAAAGAAACATTCATAGTGTGATGGATAGTGGCAATATGTATAGTTTAGTGACATTTACGCAAAAATCACATCTTGGTTATTTTTCGATAACTAACGAGCGATTTTGATTATGAATTTGTTTTATAAAATTCTAAGCTGTTGCACTACAAAAATATAGATTTTAAGAAAAATGTTATGCTTAAAGAATGAAAAATACCTTACGGTACATTTAAAATTGTATACGTCTTTCGATACCCTTGATAGAGTATTCACTACTTTTATTTTATTTTCCAAACGTCAAAATATTTTAAATAAAACAATTTTTTTTCACATCCATATATTATTGTAACATGTACCTTTTAAAATTTTTTAGAGAGAGGCTTTACTGCTGCTCATTTCAAACCCATCGTTTTAATTTTATATATCTGAAAAATAATCACTTTGGGCTTACACGTTTTATAAATATAAAATTATGTATGTTAAAATACTTTGTAATTAGGCACATAGGTCAGATTAAGTTTTTATTAAATAGAGTAATGCATGCAAGGGCTATCTGCCTAAAGAGAGAGATGCCATCATGGAGGAATTTTGAAGAAAATCTGACCTTTGAGTGGGTATTAAAAATAATACTTATAATTTTCATTCAAATTATATTCATATATATTTTTTATGTAAAACTTTCGGGTGTATGCTAAAATAGTGTAAATTACTTTACACGAAAAATATAGGGAATGCACAGAAATTAAAGATTTGCACACGCCGGAAATGAAAAATAGGAAATGTGTATGGGTATTTATGCATGTGCTTGCAAAAAGCATGTATCTGCCTTTGACAAAATACTTAAATATTCATTAAATTATTTATAAATGTATTTGAAATGAAGAATTTATTCACTTATAAACAACTGTGAAAGTACTGTGAAGAAATCTAATTATTAAATGTATCTAATTTATAATGATTATAAATGTTATCTAAATATATAATAACCTTAATATTGAATTGTAAGTATAAATTGAAATCCTGTTGACAAATACATTATAAAACTATTTAAGCAAGAATTGTTCGTATTGGAAAGCAATCTGTTAAAAGGTATTGTAAAGCAAATGCTAGGAGATGCGCACTTAAGAACGTAATAAAGAGTTTTGGAATATGTATTGTTGAAATGAAGGGTAAAAAAAAAATCTGATAAGTATAATTAAAAGAATTATTACCTTTACATTCCCTTTCAGAAATGTTCAGAGAAAATCAAGTACTATTTAATACCTATTTAATTATTAGGAATTAGCGAAATACTTATTTAAAGTATTTCGCTAATTCCTAATAATTCTCTAATTTAAAATGAACCGAATAGAGCATTAATTATAAATTGACTTACATTTTTCGATTTAAAAGATGCCTCAGAAGCCAAAAAATCATGGTCATATTTAAGAAAGTATTTTAGGAAGAAGCTCTATAAATAGAAAGAAAATAATGCATAATTTTAATATTAATAATACAATAAACTTTGATCTTAATTTTTGTACCTTAACCGAATAAAATCAAATTACCTTAATTTTTTTTCTAATGTAATTAACGAAAACTTGTGAAAATATTTCATTCAAATTAAACCATTCTGAGAAAACTGTCCTGTGAAAAGTATAGCATTTAATTCCGTTCAGAATGAAATGTTGTTTAAAAATATGTTGTTTTCACATACTTAGGACTCTGAAGTGTTGTTGAAAAAGAAAATATATACATTTATCTGTATATTTACGACTTAATTACAAAATATTTACATCTGAACGCGTCAAATCCCATAGAACTCAATGGTAAATGACCCAATGTTTTGGTCACCACGTAGGGATCGCCGGTGCTTCAGAGCAGGGTACGGGAGAAACTTGTTTAGGGCGACTCCATCTTACTTCCTACCTCCATGACAGCATGAAGGTATACAGAAAGGCGGGAGAAAGAACCAGATATATTCCATCTTTTAAAGGGTGACTGGGGATTAGGGAGCCGAATTGGCAAATCCTGTTGGTCCACCTTTTAGGTTGGTTGCCACTTGTACAGTCATTAGAATTTTTTTAAGCCAGGAAACTGCAGAAATCTGCAATCCCTCGCCGGTACTCAAACTCTGAACTTCCCAAATGCATCTCAAATCAAGCAGACTTATGGTTACACCTCGAAGGCATGCTGAAGAGAGAGGGAAAATACCTTAGCAAATTATGGTCCAAATTCTGTAACAAACAAGGAAGTTGTTGATGTTTGAACAGCTGTACTGATAAAATAACTTATGATATTATGAATACGGGATTTTACTCAAATATTTATATATGTGTGTAAAGAGCAAAAGAGAGGGAAGGAGGAGATGAAAAATAGGACGTTAAAAGAAAAAAACATTAACTCTTTTGTTAAATGTATTTTTTTTCACTTGAATCATAAGCCTATTCCTTTTTTTCTCTACAGAATTATAATTGGGGGGGATGCATGAATTATGTGAGTGAATATAGTGTAAGAATTTTGAGGTAATGGAAATAATAATTAAATACAAAGGTAAGAATGATATAGCAAATGTAAACAAGAAACTATGAGAAATTTTCTGGTCACTTACTGTGCTTATTTGTAAAAAATACATGAATGTATGCATTAATTGTTTAAAAAAATTATTGTATTTTATTTTTAGGATAATTTTATGATGATGGATGACGCTGTACTGTGCCTTTGTTTCAGTCGAGATTCAGAAATGTTAGCATCTGGCAGTCAAGATGGTAAAATAAAGGTATGATTTTGCTTTTAAATTAATCATTTTAAATAAATCAGTTTAAAAAAGACTTGTTGCAGTTAATAGTTAGTGGTAAAGAAACTGTAAGAATTTTGCTCATGAAATAGTTGGGTTATCTTTGAACATTTAGCATATATTACTTCTATGTTAAACCATTTTATTCATATCCCTTTTAAACTATTGTACCAGTTGCAGAAAATATAAAAGTAGGCAGAGCTTTTATTAGGAAAACTTTTCAGGACGAGTCATTAAAAGTTTTTTATTCTGAAGATAATTAAATGCATATTATTTGACGTTGATGATCATTTCTGCTAAGATAATGGTAAAAATAAAAATAAAAAAAAAAAAAAAAAAAATTATTATCTGGTGTGCAAGACACATAGACCTGCTGACGATTATAAAACTATTTTGGATGTTTCATATGAGAGAAAAATTAAATGTAAAAAGAAATATAATAAACAGGGTATGCCTTCAGAGTGCTGAAACTTTTTTTTCAGGTATATCCATCCAATTTACAAAAGTCTAACTGAAATTTTCTTTAAGTTGCATATTTAATTACATTACATATGCAAGTTGACTGGTAAGCAGCACATAATATACTGAATATGAAATAGCACATAATATACTGAAATGCAATTGTAATACTTTGTATAAAATTTATTCTTAAAATTTTCTAATAAGAGTACTGTTTGCAATACAGAGTTTCAGAATATAGTGAGCTGTTACAATTTTATTGAGAGTGCCACAATTTCTGTTTAATTTTGAATGGTGGCCCTTCATTGAAATAACATTTATTAGTTGCCTTTGGCCTCAAAGCTACATGTTCAGTTAAGTAAGCAGTCAGATCTGCTAAGAATCCTCCAATCAATCCTCTTCTCATTTTTAGTGTGCAATAGACTCTCCTCCATTATTTTTGGCTCTCTGGACAATCAGTGCAGCTGGTGCTCCATATGAATTAATCATGTTAATAATTTAAAGTGAAACATATCCTTATTCCATTCACTTGAGAGAAAAGCTTAGCTGACAACCCTTGTAAATCAGCGCCCTATGCTTGGAATTTACCCTGATGTGCAAGCCATGTCATTGGGCTCTGAATTACAAGTTGGTCCCCATTGTTAGTATATCTTAAAAATCTAAAAATTTTCTTTTTTTTCCCCCCTTTCTTTCTTTCTTTTTTTTTTTTTTTTTTTTTTTTTTTCTTTCCAGAATGATATTCTGCTGCTTATCAGCAATGAGCAGATTTCCTATGCATTGCTGTGGTGCTGTCTTTTATTCTTGAAATTTGATAATTTTAGTTTTTTTTTTTTTTTTATTTTCAATTATCTGTATTGTTACGAGACTCTACCTGAATTTTGTTCATTCAGTCGGTACTCCATTAAAAGAAATGTAAAGAGAGATTTATAATTAAGTAATATGGGCAATTGCTCACGACATGTGTTAAGGCATAATATTTATTAAGTTTTCAATTACAGTCAAAAGTCGTTAATTCGGATACCCATAATCCTGACCTCAAAGCTAAAAACTTTCTGCGCATGCGCCGCGTTGACACATGCGCATAGGCGTTTATGCATGCGACTGCGCGTTTATGCGTGCGACTGTAAAGACCTTTACGACTGGGCATTTGCGTGTGCGCAAGCGCAGAATACGTTTTCGCGTGCACGTTTAAGGTATAACGGACGGTATAAGCTAAAATTATCTAATTATCTATTTCAGTTAATGTTGATGATTGTGTTGTTCCTTAATCTTCGAATTGGATGCGGCTTATTATTTTTTGCAGACTGTAAGAGCAATTTTATAAAAGTAAACTTGAACTTTCAATTATGTGAAATAGAATATCCAATGCTGGAGCTCCCAAAGGATCTACAAAATGAAAGTATGCTTCAATGTCCGTCAAACAAAAAGTGGAATTGCTGCAAAAAATAGATAAAGACATGAAGAAGGTGACAAAGAGGTTAGTGAAAACGAAAAAATTTCGATTGACAAGTTAGTCATTATTCTCGGCACAGCAATTACGGGACTTGAACAGCGGAACTTTGTAACTGAATAAGAAATTATGTCTGTTTATAGAATTAAAGAGAAAGTATTCTCACATAAAACGAAGCAACTTAAACAACTTACATTGAAAGAAATGTTTAATAAAGTAAACAAATAAATATTAAGCTTTTTTTTTTTTTGTAAATTTTGATAACCTTTAGATCATAATTGTTCTTTATTTCATAAATTACGGTTTCATATTTTTAATTTTAGAATTTCTGCATGCCATCTGATGAGATTTAAACTGATGATCTATAATCTGGAAAAATCGATAATCCGGAATCACCGAAGTCCCGACGAGTCTGGATTAACGACTTTTGACTGTACTATAAAATGGAAAGTTTCATTTGCATTCACCTGTTTGTCAGATCCATGCATATTACACAAATTCACAGCGATATATCAAGAAATGCATTATTTTTTAATTTTATTTATTTAATTTTTAAATTTTTATTCTTGGCATGTTACATGAAGACACTGTTGTCAATAAAATTCTTAATATTTTTTGTCAGCAATTTTTATGTGTGTGTGCATGCTTTTAGATCGAAATGATACAACAAATAAATTTTTTTCATTTTTTTACTAAATTCAGGTATGGAAAATTCAAACTGGTCAGTGCCTCAGGCGTTTCGAAAAAGCTCATGCCAAAGGTGTGACTTGTGTGCAGTTTTCTAGAGATAGCAGTCAGCTGCTTAGTGCGTCATTTGACCAGGCAATTAGGTAAGCATTTTCAATTTTTTTCAGTCTCTTTACCAAAGATATTTAGTTACATAATTTTTAAAATTGTGTCCATGATTGTCAACTAATATTCTGTGTGCTTCGAATAAGAAATAGTGAAAATTAGAACGCAGAGTGTTTCAGTGGTTTTATTTTATTATTTGAATAACTCATCAATATATGAAATTTGTATGGCCAAATTTTATGAACTTTTCCTCAGAGATCCAAAGGAAACGTATTTATATTCTTATATTTATAGAGTCTATAGTTATTTTTATTTGAAATCCCTTCCCGTTACTAAAACAGTATTTGAAGACTAAGTTTATTTAGTCAAAACAGTTTACATTTCTGATCACAGACCCACCAAAATACTCAGGAAGTGGTGTGTTGCCTTTAAAAATAGTCCAAAGCCATGTTACCTCAATTATTTTAGAACAAAGTTCATTCCATGTGTCTTCTAGAAAGACTGGATCCAAAAGACATAAGTTCTGAAGAATGGCACTCCTCTATTTCAACAGGCAGTGTCCTGGAATTGCTGAGAAATCACTATGTTAATCATGTTATCACAAGAAACTTAATGAATGTCTTTTGTATAGGATTTGCTTATCCCCTATAGCCCTAAATTCATGGGGCTGTGTTATAGATACCATTTGCTGAAATCAGTCGAAAATAATAAAAGAGACAAAAACAGCAATATCAAATGTAGTATGATCAATTTCAATAAATCAACTTAAGCAGCTTATTCAGAACTCTGAATTGAGACTTCATTCTCTAGTCTCTTCAAGTGGCGAACATTTTGAAAAATTTAGCTTTTAATTTCCTTTTTTCTCATAAAATTTTAAAATAAATATTTAGACATACAAAGTTATTGATATTTGTATTGCTCTGTAAAGTACTCTGTATATCTATTGTAAAAGTCCTTTACAGTAGATAGAAATCCTGTGCTGTATATAATATGATCTAATATTATATTCTTATCTGAAATGTTGTGAGTTTTTTGTATAATTGTAATAAAATATTTCATTTGAAATATTTTTTCTCATTTTAGTTAAGGTCCCATGATTTGGGAATTAATATTTTTAAGATATTCATTTATTAATGATATAAAAAAATTTACATTTTAACCTTACAAGAGACTAAGCCATATATATGTATTCAAATTCCCCCCCCCCCCGTGATACACTTAAGTACGCACCCATGCATCTTGAAATATATCCAAACAGTTAAGCTGTATAAATACTGGAAGAAAAAGAATCAAGGTACAAAATAAGAGGGTCATTTTGGAAAGAAACTAACACTTGCTAATGAACTGTGTGGAAAGTTTGTAGTTCTGGGGCCCATCACTTGGCCACTTGGAAGGTTAATAAGATGTTTAAAATGTTTTAGAACCTGCTCTTCACGCGTTGGACATTATTCTGGAAGTCTAAAAAAAATAAGAAAAATAAAAAAAAAAAAAAAAAGAAGAAGAAGAAGAAAAGAAAGCTATTAGACCTCTTAACAACAACTACAACAAAACTTTCAGTGATAATCAAGTATTTGAACAAAACCAAGTACAAAGCATACCATTTTGCAACTACCATAAAAGGGTAAATAAAGTAGCATGTGCACCCACAGATTGGTAGACATAATGTACTATCTGTGAGTTATGGATTGTGTGGTAAAGTACACTATGCAAAAGGGGAGGGACAGTTCTATATGATTGATGAAATTCAAATTGGGTTTTCCATGTCTCAAAAATGCGACTTAGGATATATATTAGATTTATATATAGCATTGCTCTACCATAGATATTTTGACACAAAATTAGACTTTTTCTGAAATAACATACCAATTATTTTCCATATTTTGATTCTGTGACTAAAAGTATGCCTAAATATTAAATTTTGTAATTTTTGGTGAGAAATTAAGAAATTTATCCTGGTGCATGTTTTTCAGTTTGAGCCAAGTGTAATTCACTTCACGAAATTCTTAATTTATAGCAACATATTTTCCTTTCCTTTTTTTCATTGTTCATGAGTGGGAAAAAAGTCATCATTCATACTTTCAAATAATTTTAATTAAGTGCATAAACCACATTTTCATTGTTATCGCTTATAATAAATACAGCAAATTTCAAAACGCTCCAAAGTGTAAATTCATTTAGATCTTAGGAAATTTTGAATAAAATACTCTAATTTTTTGCAGATATGCTTAGAAATACATCTACTTTAAAATGATGGTAAAAGGTTTAAAGGTTATAACTCAGAATTGTTTTTAAAAAAATTATAAAAATACAAATTTTAAAAATAAATCATAAAAATGTGAGAATTTTATTTGGAAGGAACCTAAATTTTGAAATATGAAAGAAAGAATAAAATAAGTTTAATAAAAAAAAAGAAATGTTATTTTTGTTTACTAAATTCATTTTGTTTACTAAATTCATTTCATAAATTTAAAACAGTTGTTTACTAAATTCATTATTCCTAAATAACACTTTAAATAAATTACTTGCTTTTCCGAAGGACATTTTCTTATGCCATGTAAATGAACAATAGCATTAATTGATTTAAAACATTACAAAATTTATTGCATATTTTGTAGTCACTTTGAAATGAAATATTAAAAGTGATTTTCAGCCTTTAAGTGTTACATAATTTTTGAATAGAAATTAATTTTTAAAATACGGGGAATATCTACGTTAATTTCTATCTAAAGTACAATATAGTTAATTACCAAATTCAGTAAACATCATAAATTTAGATTATTTGAATGAGTGTGCTAAATTTTAAAATTCTTAAATATAGATCAGGAAATTGTAAAAAACTTACCTTTTCCAATAGTTATGAAGTTGACTTTGTTATTTTCCTTGAAGATGAATGTTTAATGTCACAAATATTGCATTCATATTTTCAGATAATACACAAATATATACATATTTATTTATTAAAATTAAGTTTATCCAAAACATGTTAAAGAATATATTAATTTGCATGTAAGTTAATCGAGTAACTTCTGTTTTAATTACACACATAATTATGATATGTAAAAATTTTACATTTATCAGCTAATCTTGCAATGTATTGTAATCTATTATTGTTGTCTTTCTCAGTTTAAAATCTTATAAATATATTAGATCAGTACTAAAAGTTCACCTCTACAAAAGAAATGCTTTATCGAGGCATTTTTAAAAAGTTCCCTTTTACAATGTAACTGTTAATTTCATAAATACGTTCATAAAATTATGAAAATTCAAAATTACCTAAATATGTTCTTTATTTTATCTTATATACCAGATAAAATTTTAAAAAGTTAATTTGTTTAGGAATATTGAAGTTTTTAAATATTTATCTCATGTGACTTTTTCTATAACATCATTATAAATGTACATGTTGATGTGGACATACCAATTATTTTTTTTCATCAAATAGCTTTATGGTATTAAATTATTTAAGAGGAGGCAACTGGACAAAAGAAAGCAATTAGAAGTTGGCTAATTTTTTATTAATTTGTTGTCAAATGCTGTGCATTTTAGATTATGCTCATATGATGACAATGAGTTATTTAAATTATAAAATTATTATGAACATATCCCACATAAATTAACAAGTATCAAATTTCAAGTTGTTTGAAGTATCAAACTTGCAAAAGAAATACACATGAAATTAATTTAAGAATTAGGTTTATTTTACAGGTATTCGAAAACTGCAATTACTGTTAAACAATAAAAACCAACATTAAATCTGAAGAGCATAATTTTTTTTCAATAATAAATTCAACATAAATTTCATTCAGCTTCGCCATATTTGTTCTATAGTTCGCTGTCTTTAATATCCTGCTCGATTTTTGTAAAAGTGAATTCTTTGTCACCCAATGTTTTGAAAACAGCTCCTAAACAAGAAAAAAGAAAAATTTGTAATAATTTCAAACTTCAGATGTTTTCAGTTTTTAAATATAGTTGAAGTATTAAAAGATGCATATAAAATGCACTGAGTATTTCATATTTAAAAATTTACATTTCAGTAATTAAAAATTTAATTTCATACTATCACACAGTAAGCTTCAATTATATACCTTACACAATGCCTATAATTTCAAGTAAAAAATATCTAAAGATTTGTTTAGAATTGCAAGGTTAAGAAAGTCTTTAATGGCTATGTTTGTATTTAAGTACACGAGAAAAAACTTAATTTTGTATTAATTATATTGCATTAGCCTTTCCAATTTTACTCCTACATATAGTAAAGAATATTCGCTTTCTTACAGATAACTTTTTCTTAAATAAAGAGTAAGCAGAAAACTAATCACAACACTATATACATATATAACAGAATACTTCAAAAACTTATACATGTCATTAACATACGTATATGCATTAACAGGCTATTTTACACATTTCAATAAACCAGAAACCAATACACAATCAAAAGTATTATCAGTAAATTCCTCCAAAATCAGAACATAAATCTTTAATTATGATAACAATGGCATCTCAGTTTGCAATATAAAATATTTCAAGTCTACATTCATGTGCATTCTAAGCAAACAGAAAGCTGAATAACAATAAAATTATAAATACCATAAAAAAGTTAAAAGCCACGTAGAATGATAGCAAGACTAAATGAAGTCTTCCTTCAAAAATCAATTTAAATTCAAAAATTTGCCTTCCTATTTAACATCTCAAAATAGGGTTACTGCTTTCACTAACTAAATTTCCTGTCTTGGCAAAATAAAAATTGTCACTTCTGTTGCAGGAAATATTTGCTGCAAACTTTGTATGCAAATAATCCAGTGAAAAAATTTAATTGTGGCTTGAATATTTTCTTTATTAAATAAATGAAAAATTCCCATGTAATATTAATTTATGATCCACATGAAGCTTTTTACCTCTACCATATCATGCAGCTATTTTAAAATATATACTCTCATATAAAAGCCACAGAATTTTTTTACCAATATTAATATGGTATAAATCATTTAAATCTTCTAAAAACAGCCCAAAAATTTCTGAATTTGATACCCAAAACATAATTCTACGTAACTGTTAATGTATGCATTTGCTTGCACATACTTAAAATGAATTATACACACAAAAACTTAACGTAACATATTAACTTTAATAAATTCTTAATTAGCAGGATGATTCAATTAAGGCAAAATATGAAAGAAATCTACCTGATGTAATAGTTGTAAAAGATATATTTAAAAAAAGCTAATACTGTTTACCTTACACATGGCAGAAATTGAGTAAACTGTATGCAGCTGGATTATTTATTAGGAATAGAAGTTAGATCAAAGTACCAGTTCTGGAAGGCTTTAACCATTTGGGTGCAAAGAAGCATCTCAATTTAAAAAAGAATAAAAGCTAATAGAATTTTATAACTTTTACAATCTAGTACAAATATTAGACACATAAACTAATTACAATCTAGTACAAATATTAGACACATAAACAACACTAATTACAATCTAGTACAAATATTAGACATATAAATAACACTAATTAGTGTCATGTATCATGACAGACCTACTTTCTCTTTGTAAAGAAATAATTTTAATACTTTAGGCATAAAAAATAAAACTGTCTATGTTATTTCAGTATTCAGTAATTTGTTACTCAAATTCATTATAAAATATGGATTTTTATTCAGCGACTCAATAACCAATTTAATGTAATCCAGTATTCCTGGCTTTCTGACCACCATTCAGATATTGGATAATCAAAACTTTCTTGTATTTCTCGGTCATATTTTTAAATAAAATATTAAATTATTAGCAATTAGTATGTGAAGTACTTATTTTATGTAAGATATAGTATTTTATTTTTATTCTTAATTGTTTTCTTCTGTAGAGTTCATGGTTTAAAGTCTGGAAAACTACTGAAAGAATTCAGAGGACACACCTCTTTTATAAATGAAGCTATATTTACGGCTGATGGACATAATATTCTCAGTGCTAGTTCTGATGGAACTGTTAAATTGTGGAATATTAAAAGCACAGAATGTATTAGTACCTTCAAGTCTCTTGGAGGCACAAGTGGCATTGATATCACTGTAAACAGTGTGCATGCATTGCCAAAGAATACCGAACATTTTGTTGTATGCAACAGATCAAATACAGTTTCTATTTTGAATATGCAAGGGCAGGTAAGGTGCTATCTTATGTACTTTTTGCTGTGTATGCATGTATTAAATCTAAACTATTACTTATTAAATGGTTATTTCTTTCAACACAAATTTCCAAACTTATTCTTAGCCCATCTTTTGGTAAAAAAAAAAAAAAAAAAATCTCAAGTGGTTTACAGTGACTTTTTCTGAAATATTGTACAATATTCATCATCACAAAAGTGGGTGGTTAAAAGAGTGTTATGGAATTGCTGACTTTAAGTTGGATTTATCTTATGTATTTAGATAAAATTAAAATTTTTTACATTTTGCAAAAGTTGGATTTTTATTTAACACTTGCATTATGCCGTTTTCATATATCTGGAACTATGATAAGTGGTCATTTTGACCGCTTGTTCTGAACAGAAGAATAGGTTCGCTTTTTGCTAATATTATGTAAAATTAATGCTTATAATGATACATTTTGCTTGTTTAATAAGTAAATTGAGTAAATACATACAACCAAAAAATAATATAACAAATGACAAAATAAAGCAAAGTGAGTAAGTATGTTAACTGAAGGATAATTTAATGTAACAAAGGGCTAAAAGAGGGGGGAGGGAAATGCTCTAGATATTTTTTAATTTCTTATCATTTAGTGAAGTGCCTCATAAAAATGTTCAATATTAAATAACTCATGTTAGTGCTTACATTACTCAGGTTTGCAGTGCATAGATTACTAACTTTTTAATTTTAAACTTGTACAGGATTCACAAACATACCTTTTACAGCAATCACACGTATTCAAAGTTTTGTTGCCTCTGCATGCAGAAATGTACATCTTTCAAAGCTTCTCACCTGTATTCAAAATAATATGTCTGATATTCTTATATTCAGTTGTTTCCTTATAAATTATCCATGCATTTATCACAGCAAAATCAAGAATATTAAAAAAAACTTGAACTGGCCCATAGCTAGATGGGGACTTCACTGTGATTATTTTCTGACCATCAGGTCTAAACCATCAACTTCATATTTGGTCAAAGTGTAAAGATTCACAACTTCTGGTATATTTTTTCATCAAATGCGATTTCCAGTGTTGGGTACATGGTACTCAGGAGCAGGATGTTCTTCTTTTCCCTTGATAAGATATATATCTTGATTAGATATATTGTCATGCTTAGTAATCTTACTAGGACAGAGCTTTATCCCTCATATTTTTGAAAGAATAAGGTACTTATCTTTTTGAATAATTTATTGTGCCAATGCAGCTTATTCCTGAATTCCTCATTTCTTTTACTAATTTCAACGGCTCCATCAAGTGAAAAGCTGCATGTTCACCTACTGTTAATCCAGTTGGTCTTGTTTCATCTTTTCCCAAGTAGGAAAATCCATTAAGTACATATTTTGACTGCATATCAGTAGCAAGCCAAAATTGAATGCCGAACTTGTTCGGCCTTTTAGGCATATACTGAATAAATTGGCATCGGGTCTTCGTGGGAAGTAATTGTTCATCCACTATTATATTTTCGCCCGGTTTATAACATTTCAAGCATTCCAGATATCCGAAACAAGAATAAATAGATAAGTTTGCAGTCTTTGAGATCTTGATCTAAATTTTTACTTTCCTTTTCTGTTTCGTGAGCAGGTTCTCCATCAGAGGAATCGGATTCACTTGTTTCAATAGGAACAATCCAGTCCTTGTCGAATAAACTGGATGTAGTTTCAGAATGAAATTCTTCAGCAGGTTCAGGTTCTGAAGCAGAATTATCATCAGAAAGACTTTCAAAAGCTTTCAGAATCCCTTCCTTGATTAGAAATTTTCTACCAATGCGTGACAGGATAAACAAGTCAGAACAACAAAACTATCCAAATAGTAAAGTACATTTGTGTTTACTGAAAATCAGCTTTCTAATGCAAGCAAAATGAGCAGACTCGTGACGCACAAAATTTCTAAACAGGTGTTTTTATTCCCCCACTTTTGTGAAATGTGCAATCTTCCTTACCAAAAATACAGTTCTTTATGTATCAGTAAACCGGAAATAGCTAAAAAAAGTCAGAAAAATATTGAGAAAGCTATAATTTTCTAGATACAGTCAAAATGACCGATAGCCATAATATTGTTGAAAATAATTATTTAAAATAAGCAAATAAAAAATATCATGTAATATTTGCAAGTTTTAAAAAAATATCAAAGTTATAAATAAAGAATTAAAAACGTTATGTCCAATTAAAATGTGAATATGGTCAAAATGACCGTTCCCATAATTCCAGTGTTAAAGTGTGCTGGTGAGGGTGATAATTATGTACAACTGGAGATAAAAAAAAAGTGGTACTTCCATCTGTATGTTTCAATGAATTTTGCATATAAACTAAAAAAAAAACTGAGTTTTTAACTAAAAGCATAATATTTTATTAATTTTAATTAAATTTTATTTTTTATAGAACCCTCTCATTAACAGCATTGAAATCCTTTTCATAAAATTATCTGTTTCATTTTGAGAGAGACACTGTAATTTAAATAATATCTGTAAATTTAGTTATTTATTTAAAGAAATAAGATCTGCTACCTTCTTTCTGAAACACCTTGTATAATTATGTGATGCAATTCATTTAACATTCTTTTGAGAGAAAAATGGTATATTTTCAGGAAAAAAAAAAAAAAAAAAAAAATGTGCGCTAACTGTGCATTCTCATTTCAGATTGTAAGAAGTTTCTCCAGTGGTAAACGAGAAGGGGGTGATTTTGTTTGTTGTACTGTTTCTCCAAGAGGCGAGTGGATATATTGTGTTGGAGAGGATTATGTACTGTATTGTTTCTCTACATCAACTGGCAAACTTGAAAGAACATTAACTGTAAGTATACTGCGATTTTAAAAATAGTATTTATCGCATTTTAACATAAAAAGATTGGAAGAACATAAATTTTAAGTATGCAATGATTTCAAAAGTTGTGATAAGCATTGCTTATTAATGATATTTGCATATCAAAGACTTGGAGAAATATTAACTGTAAATATGCTGTCAGCTCAAAGATAGTAATAAGCATGTCTTGCTAATACTATTTATATGTAAAATGCTTACACAAACCTTAACTGTAAGTAAAAATAGTAGTAAATATTTATGGTTAATGATGCATGTATGTAATAAGACTACATCATTATTGTAATAAGATAACTTGGTGAGAGAGTTGCAATGGATTGACATTGGTTTTCTGTGTTATAACTTGAATAAATTTTACTGCATAGTTAGGAAGATGACAGACATGGCTGCTGATTTAGAAAACATAATTTATTTCTTGATAATGCACATCATCACAATGGGTGTGCTATGCATCCCACAATTTTAGACAGTTTACATTTCTTAAACAGTGGACGAAATTAGAAAAGTAAACTCTGTGTGGCTAACAACAAAGCGATGCAGTGAAATGAAGCAGAAGAGAGAGGGAACTGTAACACAGTTTTACCTTTTATACGATTACATTTCAGATCACGACATTAATGTCCAGATTTCGTCGATAAGTGCAAATGAAATGCAGGGAGTTTACTTGGAAAAATTATTGTTCTGTTATTTTTAGAATAAAAACAGAAGTTAAAGGGTTATTATTAATTTATTATTTGAAAGGTAGGTATTTTATATATTCCAGCTCAAGTGCATGAAATTCCCATTGCAGAGTTTATTCAACCAATCTGTTATCATTTAAATAACTAATAAAATAAAGTGTTCATCACTACCTGAATACTGAATTAGGCCAAGGTCACTGTACCATCAAAGTATGGTGCGCTAAAATTTATTTTTAACAGCGTTATGTGACATGGAAAGATCTAGAATTTGGGAGAACAGTGGGAGGAACATAAAATTTAGAATAGTCAATTTTGAGGTTGCCAATTATTTTCTTAATGCAACCAGCATATTTTATTATAGCCTTACATATGTAAACTGTACTGTCTGCTTGAAGCATATTTTATTATAGCTTACATATGTAAACTGTACTGTCTGCTTGAAAAAGGTAATTTTTAGTGCTTTAACATTTGATTGGGTACTTGTAAGCTGTATGAAATATGCAGCATTCATGGAAGACTTAAATGATTAATTTTTTCTGAATAGGTTCATGAGAAAGAAGTTATAGGTATTAGTCATCATCCTCATCAGAATCTTATCAGTACATACAGTGAAGATGGTTTACTGAAGTTATGGAAACCCTAAAATGGAAATATGTTTATGTATAGTCATGTTTTTCTTTCAACAAATATTGTAATGCATTTTTTAGCAATAAATCTATTAAAAGGAATCCATTGAAATGTATTATAACAGACTTTATACATTCCTTCAAAACATCATGAACTTTATTTCCTTAACGGATAACGCATTTCAAAAATGAATTCAAATCCCTTCCTTTAGGAGAAGACTGATATATTTCTTTCTGCATTAGTATATAAAATATAAATGTAAATTATAATGTATGAAAATTTATATTGTTTTTAAGTATGAAATAAAATTATTTCATAGTAAAAATTAGTATTTTTTGCTTATCCAAAGCATGTATGATTATTCATACATCAATCATAAGCACATTGCAGCACTTACTAAAGCTATAATATAAATGAAATATTAAATTGCATTTGCTACTAAATTTATATCTCTAGAGCAGGGCTTCTCAACCGGTAGTATGCAAAGAATTTTTAATTATTAAATTCAAAAATTAAAACCCCAACATCCTGATTGAGTTTTTTCTCTAACACTTATAAAAATTTATGCAATTTGAGCAATTCAAGAGTGGTGGTGGTACTAAAGGTTTTCAGTTTTTGTTTAGATGGTACACGTTAGACAAAAGGTTGAGAACTACTGCTCTAGAGTATTGTTAAAATCTGAAACTAAACATTCTATTGTGCTTCTAAAATGCACCAGCATCAAAATCGGAGCTAGTGATATTGCATATAATGAATACTTAATAAAATATGGTGAACATATTTTTTCAGAATAAGCAATTATATTATAAGGGTAAAATAAAAGCTCATTTTATTAATTTCTTATGTTATTTTCATCTGTTTAGTCTCAATCATGAAAAATCATTGTTCAGTTGAAAAATTACTTTTTTTTCCAACAATTTTGTTACATCAAATAATCGAAAAAATGCAAGCAGTTTCTGAAAATTCCATAAAAAATATAAATTTCATTTAAAAGATCTTTTTTTTTTTTTTTTTTTTTTTTTGCTTTGCTTTATCTCATGCTACAAATAGCAAAATTTTGAGTTTGTTTGTCTGTAAAGAAAGGTATTGGGTCAGTCCATAAATTCGTGCCCATTTTTTGGTAAATTTTTAAATATAAAAAACACAATTTAACATTTTAATCCATTATATATTTTCCTCCATTATCTACAATGCCTCACCATCTTACAGGCAGTTTTTTTATGCCTGTAATATGTAGAAAGATGTTTTATGGCTGTAGAAACTCTGTGTACATGCTGTTTAGAATTTTTTTCCCAGTAAAAAATTTTGTAAGGCACAAAATTAGTGAAAATCACTTGGGGCAATATCTGGGGAGTAAGCAGGATGTAGCAAAAGCTCGCAATTAAATTCACTAATTTTTTGCAGCATTGTTCGAGCCGTATGCGGTCTTGCGTTAATGAAATAACACTTTCTTGACGTTCACCAAACGTGGGCATTTTTTTGGTCAATTCTGCGTTTAGATGGCAAAGTAGTTCACTATAAAATTCTTAATTAATCGTTTGATTTCATTCTAACGGTTCAAAACGTCCTGAACGGGGTTCATCATAAATGTTACTTTTTCCAACTTTAAATTTTTTAAACCATTTCTAGGCAGTCCTTACACTAATAGTGTGTTCACCACATACACTGTTAATTTTTATCGCTACAAACCTGGCAGATTCACCACATGAAAATAAAAAATGTAGCACAGCACCTTTGTACCGATTATCGATATTCATCTTCTGTGGGAACAAAAATGTGTTCGATATTTACGAAAGTTGGTGATGAACTGAATAATATGTTAGTCAAACGATGACAAGTTTCAACAGGTTCAAAATTGTATTTTTTTAGTATATGCATTATAGTGAATTCCACGCATGCTCTTAATGCACACGAACTTATGGACTGACCCGATACAAGTGAAAAAAATGGTTTTGGTAATTAATTTAAAATATTGATAAAAGTTTGAAAAAATGTCACTGTACCGACATTATATTTTCATCCACAATGACTGTGTGTGCATAATTTGATAACTTATAAAGAAATAGTTCAAAAAATCGATGATGGCAAAGTTTAGATTATAGCAACAAACACCATTAGTAAAGTTTAAAAAATTCTAAAATGACATCTCAATATTTCTTTATCATTTGGGGATTAAAAAAATGTGCAGAGTTTGTTTTATAATGTACAATTTCAGATCTTTATAATGGACTTTTTTGGATGTTAGGATTTTAAAGGTCTCATAAAAGAATATTACCTATAAAAAAACACAATTTTTTTAACTTCCTTGTGTGAAGTAAAGAAATTATTGTAATCCCAAAAAAATTCAGGTATTATATTTCAACAGAAATATCAGCTGATTTTTTTGCACGACATCTATATGTACGGACAGAATAAAGGACTCTTTACGAAAACAGATTGTTTTTGTGACATGTGTACGTATGTAATTTGCATAACTCAAAAAGGATTAGCCATTTTTTATTACAGTTGACAATACCTTATGTGTGTGTATATATATATGCATTAGCTTAAAAGTCTTTAGCTGGCTTTTATTTTCACAATCATTGGTCATAACATTACACATCCAGTTGCAGAAGTGTTTTAAATGACAAAAATATTCATTCCAGTTTTAAAAAAAATTAATTTTCAACAAACAACAAAATGTAAATTTTAATGCGGTCTCCTGGTTCCTATACTTCTGTTTGGGAAAGTTTCATATTCATTATAAATTTTATTTTTCTAATGACATGCTACAAGGTAAATGAACATCAAATAAAATACAAAACAAAGATGAGAAAATTGACATCAGTATAACTATAAGCTCAAGGCGTTCCTTGCTATCCAGTAGTGCTTCCAAATAACGAGAAAGAGTAGGGCATTTGTGAAGATGTGGCAAGTCCATGTCTTCCTGCATGCTTCTGTTATTGCATAAGGGTCAAAGAGAATCAAGGGCGATACTGATGTGTTTGAGGTGCTTACGAAGGCAGTCTTAGCCGGATATAAGACAGACCAATGCGACAGATTTCTTTCTAAGCCATTTGGGTACTTCAATAATCTCTAATTTGTATTCAAGAATTTATTTCTATATGCAAGTTCTAGGGGTCCTTGAGGGCTTTCCTAACAATTTAATTGATGGAGATGTAGGGGAGAGTAGGTTATGATGTTTAAAGGACAGAAGATCCTTTTTTAGCCAAGAAATCAGCAGATTCGTTACTTTGAACTCTACAATGGGCAGGAATCCTTAAGAGCACAACTCCTTTGTCATTATTTGAGAGCTAGTTAAGGAGATCAACAATTGAAGAGTGGGAATCTCTCTATATGTCAGGAGCTTGTAGGACAGCTCTGAATCTGATATTAAAATTAATTTTAAACTTATTTAAAAATCAGTTACTTAATTGTTAATTAAAAATTAATTATGTGATTAATATTTAATTAATTCAGCTCATCTGGGAGAGATGAAAAGATTTCTTCTCTTTAATGGCATTATTTCTCCATCTGCACTTACTCAAGTCAATGCTCATATTTAGAGACTAATTTTTCGCTCATACTTTCCTCGTATCTCGAATTTCTCGTATACAGAGGTGCTTGTATCTCAAGGTTCCACTGTGTTACCAATTTACTAATATTTTCAAGCCATTTAATCTGGGGAATAAGTTCATTTGGTTACACACACTAAATAAATATCCATACAAAAAGACTATAATGGAAGAGTAAACATAATAAAGAAATGAACAAAGTATAAATGTCATCGAGTTCTAACTCATGTTAAAAACATCAGTTAAAATTATTATTGTACAATTTATACATTCTGGATTACACACAATTGAGTAATATGTTATGGATATAAACAATTCCCAAACAATATGACTTCATCTGCTATTATTGCTGTTCATAACTTTTAACTTTCCTTTTTTGTATAGCCAGTTTTATTTTACACTAATGGTTTAAGATAACAATTTTTCCATTGTTCCACAATTAACTTTTCTTCAGACAAGGCCCACTTAATTTTGGGAGTTTAATGTATAATAAACCCAGAAGTACTGTGACCATAATAATGTACCTGATTATAGTGGCCATTGTGAGAAAACAGACTTCATGGCACTTAGAGGCGCTCTTTTCTGAAATATTCTATATTAGAATAAAACATAGTAAGACCTAATATACACATCTTCACATTTTTATTCTCAAGTTAGGATTCATTTCAACAATGTGTTGTGAAAATAAGAAGTAGCTCTCTTGTGAGGGGCATTCAAACACTTATTTAGAGGCAATTCTCTTCTGATGAATAACAATGATTATCAAGGAACATTCCTCAAATTGTAAGACAGTGTTTATTAAAAATATTATGTTTATAAATTTTAAAAATAGGATTTAATGTAAAGGAATTGAAAGAATATGGACAGATACAATGTTAATTTTATATGAAAAAGAAAAAAAAAAGTTTTATTTAACTTTAATACTTTATAGATATCTTTAAAATTTGTTTAAATTCTGAATATTAATAAGTTAATACATGTATGATTATGAAAATTTATGATAAAACACTGAAAGGTAACACATGAAAACATACTTCATTTTTTGTTTGCTTTATTATAAAATTGAACACACATAGCCAATGGAATTTCGTTTTTAAAAAGCTACAATGTAAATCACATTTCATCACAAAAGGAGTTAGCTTTCTATTCCAGTAAATTTACAGATGAAAGGAAGGTTGAACGGTACATTGCACGCAAAAAAGGGGATTAATAAAACTTTAGACAGTTTCATACAGTCAACAGTTCTACAAATAAAATTTGGCAACATAAGACTTTGAAGTCTATGAAACAGCTCTTTCAAGAGTAGTTATTTACAATTTTAAAATATGTTATTAAAAATAGACTTAAGCTATTTTCACAGCACTTTGCCATCAATATATGACAAATGACAGATCATGCTGATGCAGAAACATATATACATACCAAAAACATTACAAAGCAATACAACCAAATTCAGAATACCTAAACAGGTGCAGTGAAATTGAGTATATGCTGATCAAACTTAAATTTATCACCTTAAAAACTATTCATTAAGAAAATAAATTCAG